AACTCAAACACACCACTCAAAAACTGCACAGAAAAAAAAAAACAGAAAAAAGCAACCTCCGTCATTAAATTTTATCTCTAAGACATGGGGTCATGTTCTAGCCCAGCCTAAGGGCATAAACAGGTTTTTCGTTTTTTGCTTCATTTCTTTTTCTTCTTTTTTTTTTTTCCCTTCTTTTTCTTCTTTTTTTTTTTCCCTTCTTTTTCTTCTTTTTTCTTAGAAAACAGGCCGTTCTTGTCCTAGCTCCATGTCCATTCTGAGGATCATCAGTCCGGTTCCCTTTCCCCCATCAAGTCACGTATTACATCATGATTCACACCCTCACGCTTCCTTCCGTTTGGTCGAAGGACCCATTACCTGCACTTTTTATTACTCCCTGTATCAGGAGGATACACAGTTTTTCGTACTGCTCTCTAGACTCGAATGCAGTCAGGTACATTTAGGATGGGCTGTGAAGTATCAATTTTATGGATGATTTTGAGGGAGTCTCTAAGCAAACTAACCTCTTCCCTCTATAGAATGAACGGTAATTATTGATGTATATAGACTGAAAATTGAACCAAATACAGGTATAATGACCCTGTGTTCTAATTGGAGGAAGACGGTAGAGCGGGTAGAGCGGCAGGCGAGACCACTCGCCCAACTTTGTAAGTAAAATCTCCCTGGTTTCCATATAAGGGTCAGATTATTAATCCTTTTCCACGCTGATGGAAAAGGTGGAAAAACAGTGACCTATTTTCCCAAAGCTGGACTGGCAAACGGCCAGTACTATGGGAGCTCTGAAACCAATCCCGAAGGCTTAGTGAAGATTGATTTTCCCGCAGTTCTTTTCATGTTTGCCTTTGGATAATGATTTCTTTGTTGTAATTTGCTTGGAATATCTGAATCTATCAAACACACAATAGGTATATGTAATTGACTAGGGACTGTATATTAAAAAGACCAGATTCTGAATGCTTGATATACGATTTTACCTTGTGTCTATTTTATTTCTTATTTTTGGGGCGACAGTGTGAGTCACCGTATGAACTGCTAAACTGATGGAGAGCCGTATGCTTGGAAATCTTGCAAGCACGGTTCGGAGGGAAGCTTAGTCAGATTACACACACTGCTTAGCGCAGTCCTGACCTGAAGTCTTTTTTTTTTGGGGGGGGAGGGGATCCTTGCCTCTTTTTTGACTCGTCTGGTTTTGTCGGGCGACACCCCTCTGCCCAACTGGCCCATGCGTGCCTGGCCGGGCGTGCGCGGCCGGGCGACGGCCCAACATAGCATTAATCAACAAATAGTCCCCCTGCCCCCCGCAAAAAAACAGAACTGAACAAATCTACAGCGGAAGACAACAAAAGCTAAACTGAAGGAATCTACAGCAAGGCCCCTCAGTCCACGAAGCCAACCAACAGCGGCATTTGTTCCATGTACTTGCATTCGAACAGCCGGCCGAGAATTGATAACTGTCCATTCCCAGCGGGCCAGCACAGCCTCTTGAAATCGACACGTGCCTCTTAGGACTGCAAAAAAGCAAAAGATGAGAACGCTCCTCTGCCAACCCAGGTCCCACAGCAGCCTGAGTTCCACGTGGGCCCATCACGGAAGACCGGGGTTTACTTTTAAAAGCAGTAATAATAAAAAAAAAAGACAGTCTCTGTATGACAATCAGTTGTTTATGGATTTTCATTTCAATTTGTTCTCTTGACTTCTTATCAATATGAGGTGATCATACAAAAATGAAAAAACAAAAAAAAAGAGGTGATCGTAACACTGTACATAATTAAATTAAAAAAAAAAAAAAAAAAAAAAAAAAAAAAAAAAAAAAACACTGTACATAACATGCGTGTTTTTGGTAATCTAAGAGCTCCTGGATCATTTTAAAAAAAACAAAAACAAAGAAAAGAGCTCCTGTCTCTGCTGCTGGATGACATGGTTGTTTAGTATGTTTACTTTATGTTTGCTTTGAAAGTTTCTTTTCTCATTGCTCACCCCTCTCTCCTTGAGGTCTGCTCTTCTGTAAATGCCTGATAGCTAAATGTTTGCACACGTGCAATGAGGGGTGAGTCCTCTCGGCCGACTCCTTCACACGGGGGCAAATCCTTATGGGGGGTCTATAACACCCCCAGTGGCTGCAGTGGGAGCTGATGACCCAGATATGTGAAACCCACAGGGGGATGTAGACCTTCTCAGTTGCTCTTGATGGCTAACGGAATACACTTTTTGTAAGTTTTTTTTGACTGAATCGTGGTAGACCTGACATTTCGACGATTTCTTTAAATTCGAAAAAAAAAATCACGTGAGCAAATTGACTTTAAAGTTTAATTGAGTTTTTCTTTTTTGACCCATTTGAGCCAATTTCACCCGCCCCTCCTGCGCAGCATACTATGTTGAGCATATGCTCAGCATGGCCCTATTGTGCATGCAGCTGGGCGCTATTGTGCGCAATATTGCGCAAGAGCTCTTAGAAGAGAAGGTTGGTTCAGATGAGGATCATGAGGTTAGCACCTGAGGCTGTAGGCTGTTCAAATAATTTTTTATTTTTTTATTATTATTATTTTTTGTCTGAAAACCAGACTGGGCTTTCCTAGAGGGAGTGCCACTGGTATGAGCAGCTTCTACTAATGGCCCTGTCCCTGGATGATCCGGTCCATTGGTGGGGAGCAGCACCTGCTGGAAACCAGGTCCAGCAATCCTTTCAACCTCTAAGCTGGGGCCATTACCCGATCTCGGCTTTTTAGGCCCTCAGATATCAAAAACATACATATCAAAGACAGAGATATCAAAGACATGTGACATTTGCACTGCCTCTTCAGCCACCTGTGGCCGCTGGATGGACAAAATTATCACTTGTTGTGCCCTGTCACAGTGTCACTCGCAACATCCTCTCTGGTGCAGCCGCCGTACCACTGCAAGTCCGCCAGCAACAGCTGGCGGGGTGGTAAGAGGCCCAAAAACTCCGAAGGAGAAGGAGGCCTGCAATGGTACTGCTGGGCTGATGTTGGGTCCAATCTCTAAGAGCCAGGGTGTAGTCTCTGTTAATCTCTTGATCATCCGTTTGCTCCGATCCCCCCCAACGGATGCTGGGCCGCTGGCAATCCAGCCTCCTTGGTGGTCCCCCACCCACTCTTCTGAGAATCTGAGAACAGCTTGATTGTCTGTTGGATCAGCTTGGATGTCCTTTTTCATGTGATATAAGTCCAGTTACTTCTTTATCTTTGACCATTGCTCGGTTAGTCCATCTGCAGTTGTTTCTTTATTATTTCCGTCAATTCCTCACCTTCCACCCACGCATCTTCCATCATGTGAATACATCGTTTACGCCACGGTGCCCAGAGTACTGCCCTCCCGCACACTCTCAACATATTTTCATCGAAGGTACTGTCCTCTGGGGATCGCCAGGTTCCACATAAGAGCGCTCTGCTGTGGGCATTGACTATGTGTTTTTTTCTGGATACAGCGCGTAACAGCGGTGGTTTTAAGACAACCAGGTCATATCTGAGAACTAACAGGTCTCTGCTGCAGGAGGACCAGGTATGCTGGGGATATAAAATAAACCGTACCTCCTGTCGTTCCTTGTTTTCATGGCTTGTTTACGGTGTTGATTGCAGATGCCTGCTTTCGGAGCCCGCTGTGAATGATGTGATGACTCAGATCCTCCTGTACCACATCATCCCAGGGCAGGTGCTATCGTTTCAGGACCTCAAGAGCCCCATTCTCACTTTCTTGACCACAGCCTCGGGCTTGCAGCTTCCGGTGAGTTTTCTTCGGATAACCCTCTTTGATACACCCAACCCGGGACTTGTCTCGCTCCATCCTCCCCTCCCTAGGCCCTTCCTAGACCCTCCCCTCTGCCTCCCTCCCCCTCTCTCCATGCAAATCTGCATCCCCTCTCTCTCGAACACCTGATTATACCTAATCGAAGTTATCAAACACATTTCTGAAGGGAACAAAAAGCATGGTAAATCCTAGCAAAGCTGTTATTTTGTGTGTTCCTTTTGGAGTTTTTGTGTGTGTCTGTGCACCAGATCCCCCCAAAAGACAAAGGCAATTGAAAAATGGAGAGTGCAAGACTGGCCTCATTGAAGTGGTTGACCAGGTCAGGTCCACCCAGAAGCCACAAGCAATAGAGGAATTAAGAGTGCAAAGCCCACACAGGTTGAGATCCAGATGCCCACACCTGTCTGCCTGAAAGGCACACTTGGCACATTGTTGAAGAAGAGCGGGCCATGCAAGAAGAAACCAACCGGCACCCAACAACAAAAGTCAGAAGCCAGTGCGCGAGCATTCTCAAAGAAACACTCAATCCGTGTGTGTGTGTGTGTGTGTGTGTGTGTGTGTGTGTGTGTGTGTGTGTGTGTGTGTGTGTGTGTGTGTGTGTGTGTGTGTGTGTGTGTGTTG